GTGCTGTTCTATTTACCCTCTCTGGTTTCCTGCCTTCTCTTAGTTTTCAGCCTGACCTTTCTTTACTTTCTTGTTAACTGACAGATGAATTTAAAAAGATTGAAAATTATATTTTATCTAGCATTTGTAGTTGTTTTCAGCAGGAAGATTGATCTAGGGAAACAGTCTGTCATTTTTGTCGCAAACTGAACTGCTTTGACTTTTTGTTTTAGGGCTCTGGGGCCTGGTCAACAACGCAGGCGTTATTCACTCATCTGCCTACAGTGAGTGGCTGAACATGGAGGCCTATGTCAACGTCCTCAAAGTCAACCTCCTTGGTGTCATTGAGGTGACCTTGAGCATGCTTCCCTTGGTCAGGAAAGCCCAGGGGAGGATTGTCAACGTCTCCAGCATTCTGGGAAGAATTGCTTTCTTTGGAGGCGTCTACTGAAGCTCCAAGTATGGAGTAGAAGCCTTTTCGGATGTTCTGAGGTAATCCTCTTAAGTCAAACAAAAGCATCTATTGAGCACGTAAGTGTCTTAGGCCTTGTGCTTTTCTCCTTGACGTCACCTTGGGCTTCGTCTTCTCCAGCAAGACTGCTTGAACGTCTAGATTAGGGAGCACCCCATCACTGTCCCCAGAGCCCTAGAGTACACGTCTCACGTGGTGCACGAGGCCGTCTGACTTCGCTTGCTGAAGGCAGCGCTTAGCACAGTGCCTGGCACTCACTCACCTCCTGATAAGCGGTTTTGGAAATGCTTATTGAACGCACTTGAATATTCTGGAATGACCAATGACTTCTAATTTTAATTCCCACATCATATTCCATTAATGGTCTCTTGTAGTCTTTGAACACACTGTAATTTTTCACAGGCCTATGCTTTTGTGTGTGCAATTCCCACTGCCTGAAAGTCCACTCTTTCTCTTTCTTGGTCAGAAATTTCCTCTTTATTCTTCAAGGCTCAACTGAAGCCTTCCCTGACTCCCTCAGAAGATCTGTCTGCATCCTCCACTCTACTTCTCTAGCCACTTGGGTTCCTCTCCTTTATAATTCCTTTGAGTTGTAAGCAATTATTTGCTTACTTTCAGACTCACACACTGTGAGCCATTTTTGTGTGGGGAAGATTGGCCCTGAGCTAACATCTGTGACAATTTTCTTCCTCTGTTTCACCTGGGATGCCACTGCGGCGTGGCCTGATGAGTGGTGCTAGCTCTGCACCTGGGATCTGAACCTGTGAACCCTGGGCCACTGAAGCGGAACACCCAAACTTAACCACCATGCAACTGGCCCCACCCACTGAGATTGTGCATGTAAAACACTTGCACAGTGCCTCCCATAAAAATGCTAATTTTCTTTATTATTCCTTGCATTTCATATCTCCAGTGTCTAGCACACATTAGGTACTTAATAAAACTGTTAAAAGAGTGGATAAGGGGGCCAACCCTGTGGTCTAGTGGTAAGTTCAGCACACTCCGCTTTAGAGGACTTGGTTCGGTTCCCAAGTGTAGACATACACCACTCGTTGGAGGCCATGCTGTGATAGCAACCCATATACAGAAAATGGGGAATATTGGCACAGATGTTAGCTCAGGGCTAATCTTCCTCAGGAGAAAAAAACAAAGAAGTGGATGTAGAATTGAATCGTTATGGTAGTTTGTGTAATTATGTTCCAACTGTTGGACCTAGGAATGTTTAAAATTTTATGTCTTTCCTCTCCGTTTCTTTATCCTTTAAAAGATTCATTGAAAGTATTTTTATAACCTTTTTTGTTTTGTTGTTTTCCTTCCTGAGAGCATTGAAATTGTGGTGTCTTTCAATTAAAGGAGTTAACTTGAGTGTTTATTTCAGGTGTGAGCTTCAACATTTTGGAGTGAAAATCAGCATGGTTGAACCTGGCTACTTCAGTACTGGAATGACAAACGTGCAGGAGTCCTTGGAGAAACTGAAGCAAACCTGGGAAGAAGTCCCCACGCATATTAAGGAGAGCTATGGACAGAAGCTTTTTGATGCCCGTAAGCTTTAAGCTTTTCTTTTGTTGGAATGATGGGTAACCTTGCGTGAGAAGGAGAAAAGAGGGTTGGTGGACAATGACTGACAGGTCCCCTGAGAACAAAGCTCCTTAAGCAAAGCCTTCCCAGGACAGGAGGGGTTTGGGAAGGTCCCAGTGCCCTCATGGTTGGCGTGGTGATGGCTGTTGGGGCTGAGGAAGAGGCCATATCCACAGCCTAGGGCCAGGGCTGGCCCAGCTCTGTCACCTGTGGGCCCACCCACCTGAGCCTAGGGAAGTATCCCATGGTTAGAGGTGGGGAGCCTCTGGCTCTTAGAGGGGGGTGCCCCTCCGTAGTTTGGCAGGGCTTGTGTGGGAGGTCTGCTCAACTAAAGTGCAGTCTTCAAGACTGTCTACCCTTTTGGTACAAAGGGCCTGGGCACAAATTGCACATCTTATGTGAGAGGAGGGAGGGTGTAGGTGGGGAGAGGTAAGTGGGTGAGGACCAGATTGGCCATTCCCAGAGAGCGGCCCTCACGTGCAGGCCACAGGAGCCTTGTGGTGTGAGATGGCTCGGTTCCAGGCACGAGTGTCGTTCTGACCTGGAGGAGGAGGCAGTTAGCGGTGCAGGCAAGGCAGTCTTCTTAGTAGAAGTAAGTCGTGCGGGCTGGTGTGGGGCTGCACCTTCCTGGGGGAAGGGATGCTTTTTCTTCACACAAAGAAGCCAGCCGGCCAAGGCCAAAGGGAGCGGCTCTCTGTTCCATTTCACACAAAGGCCCTGTGGCGGGTAGCAGCAGCCCTGTCACTGGCTGTGGGTGACACTGCAGTCCAGAGAAAAGGAGAAGGGGAAGGTGCACACAGAAGACCTGCAGCCCTGTCTTCTGGGTGCATCAGGCCTGAGAGGGTCGCCACCAACAGAGGGGAGAGAAATCGATCAAGGAAAGGCTGACAAGAAACTGCCTGAGCCTCTCAGAACTACAGCAAGCCGGGGAACCACAGCTCTCGACGTGCCACAGGGCCGGCCGTGGTTCTCAGCTCCTCCTCGCCCAGAGTTATCAACTGTCTACTAGGGAGTGTTTCTCCCCTTGTGGGCGCATATATTTTGACAATAGAAATCAATAAGAAAATGGAATTTACTAAAAAAAGTAACTATACATAAAAGGAGAGATATATGTATTTCATGATTTAAAAAGCATTGAAATTGTTCATATATTTGTCCATGGATCAGAATAATCTAGATCAGTGCTGTCCAATAGAAATATGAGAGGGGCCAGCCCGGTGGCGCAGCGATTAAGTTTGCACATTCTGCTTTGGTGGCCCGGCATTCGCCACTTCGGATCCGGGGTCCAGACATGGCACCGCTCATCAAACCATGCTGTGGCAGGCATCCCACATATAAAGTAGAGGAAGATGGGCACGGATGTTAGCTCAGGGCCAGTCTTCCTCAGCAAAAAGAGGAGTATTGACCGACGTTAGCTCAGGGCTGATCTTCCTCAAAAAAAAAAAAGAAAAGGAAAGAAATATGAGAGCCACACACATAATCTTAAATTGTCTAGAAGCCACTTTAAAAAAGGGTAAAGAAGATTTGATTGGTGGTTACCAGGGGAAAGGGGGGTGGGGAGAGGGCACAAAGAGTGAAGTGGTGTACCTACAACATGACTAACAACAATGTACACCTGAAATTTCACAAGATTGTAAACTAATAATCTTAATAAAAAGTTAAAAAAAAAGGGAAAAGAAACAGGTGACATTAATTTTAATTATATATTTTATTTAATCCAATATATCCAAAATACTATCATTTTGACATTTATTATCAATTTAAAAAATTATTAAAAAGATATTTTGATTTTTTCCTATTAATCTTTGAAATTGGTGTGTATTTTACACTTATAGCACATCTTGACTTGGACACTAAATTTTCCTAGGAAATACTTCATCTGTATTTAGATCAGTAAAAGCTATTTATGCCAGCAGCATTATTCATAATAGCCCAAAAGTGGGAACAACGCTAATGTCCATCAGCTGATGAATGGGCAAACAAAATGGGATACAGCCATACAGTGGAATATTATTCGACAAGAAAAAGGAATGATGTACTGATACATGCTACAACATGGATGAAACTTCAGAACAGTTTGCTCAGTGAAAGAAGCCAGTCACAAAAGACCACGATGTATTATTCCATCTATAGGAAATGTCCAGAAAAGGCAATCCGTAGAGATAGCAGGAAGAGTAATGGTTGCCTCGGGGTGCCTTGGAGTGGATGGGTGGGCAGGAAATGGAATGACTGCTAACGGGTGTGGGATTTTCAGAATAATGATAATATTCTAAACTTAGATTGTGGCAAATGGTTGCACAACTCTGAATATGCTAAAAATCACTGATTTGTTCACTTCAAATGGCTGAATTTTATGGCATATGATTAGATCTTACTAGAGATGTTAAAAAATTTCCAGTTGAAAAAGTAGATTCACATACTTATGTTGTTCCAAACATAGTTAAAAATTTTCCAGTAACAGAGTTGAGTTTTAAAATTAAAAACAATTAAAAATTTGAAAATTCAGTTTTCAGTCACACTAGCTATATGTTAAGTGCTCAACAGCTAAATGTGACTAGCAGCTGTCATACTGGGAAGCACAGGTCTGATTGGCTAATCCTTGCAGAAATTAAATGTAGTTAGAGTTCCGTGATTGTGTGCAACAGGATCTTAAAATAACAATATAAAGAATAAGATTGCTGACTGTTTCTCTTTTTGTATACAGATTACAATCAAATCAAACAAGGGCTGTTGGGTGCCAGCACGAACCTGAACCTGGTCACTGACTGCATGGAGCACGCTCTGACGTCTGTGCACCCCCGCACTCGGTACTCAAGCGGCTGGGATGCTCAGTTTTTCTTCATCCCTCTATCTTACTTACCTACATCTCTGGCAGACTACATCCTGACTAGGTCTTGGCCCAAACCAGCTCAGGCAGTCTGAAGAAAACTGGTCTGCTGGCTCCTGAAACAAAGAAGACAAACATCTGATATTGATTGTTAGCATCTCAATAATCCTTATTTAGAACTGCACATTTTGTAATAACAAGCTTTCTTGCCTAAACTTATTTATCTGGTGTCATCAGGGAGCCAAGATGTTTATAGTCCAGATAGCCAAAGCTTATTCCTTTAGAGATGACTCTTTCCTATTTTAATCTTCTTTTGATGATGGTATTTCCAAAATGCATCATGCTTCCTTACCTTATTAAACAGAACAGACTGAAAACAATTTAACTTGTTTTGATGTTATTTCTTTATGTAAATGAATAGCTCTTCTGTGCTGTGATAAATTATTGCTCAGGGCCTGTTGAGAAATATCCTCACTTGAAATGGATCTGTACTGATACTTTTAATAAATATTTTTTTTGTTTTCTCCTCTCTATTTGCTGGCTATGTTTGAAAATGTTTCTTCTTTATTTAAAAATAAATGATTTTTAAATCAAAATAATATGCATATACATGGTTAAAAAATCAGTGAATATGGCCCAGCCCTGTGGCCAATTGGTTAAAGTTCCAGACACTCTGCTTCAGCGGCTCAGGTTTGCAGGTTTGGATCCTGGGCATGGACACACTCCACTCATCAGCCATGCTGTGGTGGTATCCCACATACCAAAAAATAGAGGAAGATTAGCACAGATGTTAGCTCAGGCCTAATCTTCCTCAAGCGAGGAAAAAAAAGAGAAAGACTGGCAATGGATGTTAGCTCAGGGTGAATCTTCCTCAGGGAAAAAAACAAAATTCAGGGGCTGGCCCCATGGCCAAGTGGTTAAGTTCATGTGCTCTGCTTTGGCAGCCTAGGGCTTCACCGGTTTGAATCCTGGCCACGGACATGGCACTGCTCATCAGGCCACACTGAGGTGGCGTCCCACATAGCAGAACCAGAAGGACCTACAACTAGAATATACAACTACGTACTGGGGGGCTTTGTGGAGAAGAAGAACAAAGATTGGCAACAGATGTTAGCTCAGGTGCCAATATTTAAAAAAAAAAATTCAATTAATTTTCACAAGCTTAAAACTGAAAAAAAAAAAAAACAGTTCCCCACCCTTCATTGCTGCTCCTCAGAGTCACATGCTTTCAACTTTTAGCTGTTTCTTCTGGTATTTACTTCTCTATTTCTAAATAATATACTTTTAGTTCTTGACATTAACTTTAGATGTTCTTGATTTACTTCCTAATAGAGTAAATGAGAATTTAGCTTTTTTACACCACTTTCCTGACCATTTCCTTTATCCTCATATTTATAATATAATTTTATCACAATTTCAGTTAAATTAATTGTGCTTGCATTGTTAAGTATGTGAATATTGTTTACTGGGATTTGTTTTTGTTTTTGTTTTGGTGAGGAAGATTAGCCCTGAGCTAACATCTGTGCCAATCTTCCTCTATCTTTTGGTATGTGGGATGCCTCCACAGCATGGCTGATGAGTGGAGTAGGTCTGCTCCCAGGATCCAAACCTGCAAACCTGGCTGCTGAAGCAGAGCACGCAGAACTTTAACCATTCGGCCATGGGGCCAGCCCACTTGTTTACTCTTTATTCAAGCATTTTTCCTTAACTTAGGAACTTAGAAATCAAGTTTTTTTTTCCCTTAGAGTTAATTATTGCCTTGCTTTTTCGCTTGCATTGTTTTTTATTTACTTTAATTTTTTTCACTTCTCTCAGGGTCAGAATGTGATCAGTAGTATTTTCTAGATAGTTAAATAGATTTTAGAATTACCCATTCTATTTCAATGACTCCGACACAGGGTCATGCTTTGATTTACTTATCATGTCTGTGTACTCTCATTGTAGCTGTAAGAGTTTCTTCACTTAAAAAAATCTTTTATGATTCTAGTATTTTTGGAGTGTATAGGCCAGTTATTTTGTAAAGTGTCCCCCAATTTGGATTGTATAATCTGTCCCCATGATCAGATTCGGGTTATGTATTTTGGCAGAAATGCCACAGAAGTGATACTGTGTCCGTCTCAGTGCATCACATCAGTAGGCATAGAGTCAATTTATCTCATTATTGGTGATGTTAAATTTGAACCTTTGGTTAAAGCAGAGTCAGCCAAGTGTCTCCACTATAAAGTTAATGTTTTTGCGCCTGGGATCCGAACCAGCGAACCTGGGCCACCAAAGCAGAGCCTGCAAACTTGACTGCTACGCCACTGTGCTGGCCCCCAAACCTGGATTATTTTGAAGAAAACCTCAGACATCATATAGGAACTGTAATTTTCAAACTGTTAGCATTTTCAATAGCCGCAACTAAATATCAGTTACCTAGGAATAAATCTAGCAAAAGAGGTACAGTACCTTCACAAAGAAAATTATAAAATTTTATTGCGAGACGTTAAAAAAGGCCTAAGTGTAAAAACATATACTATTCATGAATAGGGAGTCTCAATATCAGAAAAAGACATATCGATATTCCCCCAAATAACTTTTAAATTCAGTGTAATTCCAACCCAATCAAAATCTCAGCAGCATTTTATTCAAATTTAGAAGTTTTCAAATTTAATTGGAAGAGCAAAGGGGCACGCAGAGCCAAAAGAATTCTGAAGAACAAGGGGAGGGAAACGTGGCTCCCTAAGTGGAAACACTTGCTATAAAACTGTGCTGATGTAAACCAATAGATGCAAACCAAAGATAGACAAACAGATGTGAAGAAAGAGTGGAGAGCTGAGACGTGGAAACTTCATATGTAGAGGTATCATAACAAGGTAGAGGGGAAATGATCCAATAACAGTGATAGGACAACTGTTTTTTCTTTCTTTTTTTTTCTTTTGGTGAGACAGGTTGGCCCTGAGCTAGCATCTGTTCCAATCTTCCTTCATTTTGTGTGTGGGCCCTGCCACAGCATGGCTTAATGAGTGGTGTGTAGGTCTGTGCCTGGGATCCAAACCCGTGAACCCTGGGATGCTGAAGCAGAATGGGTGAACTTAATCACTATGCCACTGGGCTTGGCCCTGTGTTTTCTTATGGAAATTAGTAAAACTAGATACCTATCCCATCCCACACACAAAAAGGAACTCCAGAGAAACAAATACTTAAATGTGAAAAGCAAAACTTTAAAACTGTCAAAATAAAACATTGAGAACATATTTATGTCTTTAGGATAGGGAAGACTCTTTAAAGAAGATACACACAAAAACAGGATCATAAAGGGAGAGTATTAAGTCTGACTACAGTAAAATTAAGGACTTCTCTGCATCAAATACACCCTACGTAGGTCGAAAGACAAGCCACCAACAGGGAGATATATTTGTGTCACAGACAACCACAATTTTCTTTTTAAATTTTTAAATTTTTTAATTCAGTTTTATTGAGAAATAATTGGCACACATCACTGTATAAGTTGAAGGCATACAACATGATGGTTTGACTTGCGTATATTATGAAATGATTACCACAATAGATTTAGTTAATGTCTAGCATCTCATGTAGATATAATAAAATGAAAAGAAAAAAAATTCTTGGGGCCAGCCCGGTAGCCTAGTGGTTAAGTTCAGTGCGCTCCCTTCAGTGGCCTGGGTTCACTTCCTGGACATGGACCTACACCACTCCTTGGTGGCCACGTTGTGGTGGTGACTTATATACAAAATAGAGGAAGATTGGCACAGATGTTAGCTCAGGGCAATTATCCTCATGAAAAAAATCTGATGATGGTAACTCTTAGGGTCTACTTTCTTAACAACTTTCCCAAATATCCTACAGCTGTGTTACTAAAGTCCTTATTGTGTATATTACATCCCTAGTACTTATTGATATTATAACTGGAGGTTTGTACCTTTTGACTATCTTCCTCTAACTCCTCCTCCCCTAACCTGCACCTCCTCCATCTGGCAACCACAAATCTGATCTCTTTTTCTATGAGTTTTCTGGTTATTTTTTTTAGATTCCACATAAGCGAAATCATACGGTATTTGTCTTTCTGTGTCTGACTTACTTCCCTTAGCATAACGCCCTTCAGGTCCAACCATGTTGTCACAAATGACAGGATTTCCTTGTTTTTTATGGCTGAATAATATTCCTTTGTACATCTATACCATAACTTCTGTATCCATTCATCCATCGGTGGACACTTAGGTTGTTTTTTCCATGTCTTGGCAATTCAACATAATGCTGCTATGAACATGGGGGTCCAGATATCTTCTCGAGTTAGTGTTTTTGTTTCCTTTGGATATATTCCCAGAAGTAGAATTGCTGGATCATGTGGTAGTTCTCTTTTTAATATTTTGAGGAACCTCCATAATGTTTTTCTATAATGGCTGTACCAATTTAAAATCCCACCAATGGTGCATAAGGGTTCTCTTCTTTCCACATCCTTGCCAGCAGTTGTTATCTCTTGTCTTTTTGATGATGGCCATTCTAACAGGTGTGAGGTGATATCTCATTATGGTTTTAATTTGCATTTCTATAATGACTAGTGATATTGAGCATCTTTTCACGTACCTGTTGGCCATTCATATATCTTCTTTGGAAAAATGTGTATTCAGGTCTTTTGCCCATTTTTTAATTATATTATTTAGTTTTTTGCTATTGAGTTATATGAATTATTTACATATTTTAGATATTAACCCCTTATCACATATATAATTTGCAAATATTTTTTCCCATTCTATAGGTTGTCTTTTCACTTTGTTGGTTGTTTCTTTTGCTGTGCAGAAGCTTTTTCGTTTCATGTGGTCCCACTTGTTTATTTTTCATTTTGTTATTTGTGCTTTAGAAGTGATTTCCAAAAAATCATTACCAAGACCCATGTCAAGGAGCTGTTTTCCTATGTTTTCTTCTAGGAGTTTCATGGCTTCAGGTCTTACATTTAAGTCTTTAATCCATCTTGACTTAATTTTTGTAGGTGATATTAAGATAAGGGTCAAGTTTCATTCTTTTACATACGAATATCCAGTTTTCTCAGCACCCTTTATTGAAGAGAATGTCTTTTCTCCATTGAGTATTCTTGGCTCCCTTGTAAACATTAGTTGATGATATATGCTTAGGTTTATTTCTGGGCTTTTGATTCTGTTCCATTGGTCTATTTGTCTGTTTTTATGCCAATACCATACTGTTTTAATTACTATCACTTTATAGCACGGCTTGAAATCAGGAAGTGGGGTGCCTCCTGCTTTGTTCTTCTTTCTCAGTATGTCTTTGGCTATTTGGGGTCTTTTTTGGTCCCATGTAAATCACAAAGTTTTATTACTAAGGAATAGAAAGAACTCAAAATTTATACGGAAAAGAAACAATGATAGAAAAATGGACAGAGGAAAAGAAAATCTGAATGGCCAATAAACATACAAAATATGCTCCTTTTCACCAGTAATCAGAGAAATGCAAAGTAAAACCACAGTGAGATAGAATTTCACATCCGTAGTTTGCCCAAAATTAAAAAGTCAGCCAA